CAGTTAATGCGTTGGACCCGGGACACGAGGTGAAGGTTGTGTTTGAAGTGGACAGCACTACCCTAAAAGCTGCCTCCACCTGGGCTTTGAGGATGTTACATTTCAGGTGATCAGGGAGCACCACGGGAGAAGCAGGCGGGTGCAGAGACTTCCCGGACAGCTGCTTCTCCTCTCCCTGCCAGGAAATTAAAAAAAAGGAGGAAAGTGAGGAGAGCTGCTGGGAAAAGCTCAGCGTGACGAGAAAACGTGTGTGAAGGTGTGTTTGACCTTTTTGTCGATGTTTATGTGAAGCGAGGGCCAAGGAGGAGAGCCACTTTCTGCCTCCAGAGCCTTGAGAAGAGACTGAGAGATGTCCAAGGGACAGGGAGGAGCTCGGCGTTCTGAGACACAGAATTCAGCATTTAAAATAGACGAGTTGGCTCTTGGTAAGATGCTGCATTTAACCGTGTTACTGAATAAACGATATGAAAAGGGTAGAATGCCTTCTCCGGGTCAGGGACGAGGTCCTGCCCCAACTGGAGCTGACATCGATGGGCGGATTGGTGCTGCGTCTGCAGCGATGCGGGCGTTGTACCGGTCTGTCGTGGTGAAGAGAGAGCTGAGCCGGAAGGCGAAGCTCTCGATTTACCGGTGGATCTACGTTCCTACCCTCACCTACGGTCGCGAGCTTTGGGTAGCGACCAGTTTCTCCACAGAGTGCCTGGGCTCTCCCTTAGAGATAGGGTGAGAAGCGTGGTCGTCCGGGAGGGGCTCGGAGTAGATCCGCTGCTCCTCCACCTTCATTCTAATTTCTTTCTTTATTGAACATGTAAATCAATAGACAAATTAAAGTATTCAAAAACGTCAAGAGGAGCCAGTTGAGGTGGCTCGGGCATTTGGTCAGGATGCCTCCTGGACGCCTCCCTGGTGAGGTTTTCCGTCCAACAAGGAGGAGACCTAAAGGTAGACCCAGGACACGGTGGAGGGACTATGTCTCTCACCTGGCCAGGGAACGCCTTGGGATTCCCCCAGAGGAGCTGGCCCAAGCGGCTGGGGAGAGGGAAGTCTGGGCCTCCCTGCTGAGGCTCCTGCCCCCGCGACCCGACCCGGATAAGCGGTGAAAGATGGGTGGATGGATGAACACTTGCTTTTGTGACTTTCCACATCGCAAAAAATCTGATATATTATTATTTTTGCCTTTTCTGCGCGAATTTAAAACAAAAGTTTTTTTTTCTAACCTTAAATGTGGACCAACAATCATCTGAAAACGAGCAGCAGCGGTTCATTCAGATGAAAACACTCACTGCTCTTGGTGTGTGTGTGGCCGCGCGTGTCCGGGCTGTGTGAGTAGCGCCGGGGACGACGGTCGGTCTTCCCAGAATGGGAGTTTTCGTTCTCCGATGAGCTGTACTGGTGGTCCGAAGCAGGACTGGTCAACGGGAAACTAGGAATGACACATGAAAACAAAACAACCCCCCAAGCAAACAAACATCAGCCTTTAAAATCCACTTAAATATTTGTCGTTGAGGTCGTGGTACTGATACACACTCCAGTCACCTGGATTTTAACGCTGATGCGTCAAACAAATGTGAGGAATGGCTGAAAAATACGATTAGATTATAAAGATGAAAAGATCTCAAACCTTTTTCTTACGTTCATGAAAACCGGACTGCCTTCGTAAATGACAGATTTAACTGTACAACATCGTTTTCTCCTCCCTGTAGCGTTATGAATCTTATAATGGTCTGCCCTTAACAGCTGCCCCTTCACACAGTAACATCACCAAGGTCGGACGCTTGGTTCACTATGTTTACATTCCAGGAGAAGAGACAGAAGAAGAGAAGAAGAATGCTTTTCATTGATTAATCAATGTACTTTATTTGTGATAAGCTAATCAAAGCATATGTTGATCATTAATAATCAGGTGAATGATCTGTGAAATAAAGATGTCATGAGTTATGTGTTTAAATGAATAAACAGGACTGCACCAGACAGACTGATATGCATTACCATGGAAATGCATGACACATTGTTTTCAACCAATCAGAACTTTCGTCTGTGGTAGGGCAGAATCTGGTTTGTTTATGAAAGTAGTCCAATCCGGTTTACTAAGATTTATAAACAACTGGGAGATATAAAAGAAGGCAACGCCGTTTTATATTCAGTTCCACGTTGACATCAGCTCTGTTCGATCTGAGCTCCAAAGGAGTTACATCATACTCTCAACATTGTTTTCAACCAGCTCTCAATCCATCACCGCCAAAAGAGAAGTACAGGCTGGCCAGCTGTTTCCGTCGTTTGAACCAACGAGACGACGTTCCTTCAAAATAAGAGTGAACTTGCTGACGCCTGCCGACTGCTACCGGAGCCGACCCACAGACGGGCTTTGTAGTGCTGCGACCGCTGTTTCACCAGCTCCAGTACATTCGAGGTCCGAGGACCTGGCATTTCCTGATCTACATGGGAGACTCCATACGGTACGTGGTCACGGCACAAAATGGCGGCTCATGTCATCAGCTTCTGAAGCCTCGTGGTAGCCTAGTCATAACAACCAGATTCACTACGTCAGCCTAGAGATTCTGAACAACACACACACACACACACCAACACGAAACATCTACATCCATATGCATTCATCATTGAGATAGTCCTGGTAGAGTGTAAGAATTTATAATTATAGAAATTAAAGATTCTTAAACGATCGCAACTCTCTCTTTTCTTGTCTCTCAGTCAATACAAAGTGTTTAAGTAAACTCCCTGATGATAAAAACGACCACTTCTGATTACTTACTTAGATCTAATTACAGTGTATAAATATACAAAATCAGATCATTAAATTATCTAATTACAGTGTATAAATATACAACTTCAGATCATTACATCCCAGAAGGCTCAGCGAGCCACGAGTAATGCCACTGGCTGAATGAGCTCCTTGTTCCCTATAAATTATGAAGTAATTGGTATTTTCTTTTGTCATATCGGTAAATATTGTAGAAATGTGGAACCCTAACCCTGATCCTGACTGCTGATCACAGCATCTTTACATTGTTGGTTTATTAGAAGTCTGTTTTTGAACCCTTCAGTTAAAGGTGTCCTATCTCTCTCTCTCTCTGGTTGTGGATTTGACCCTTGAGGACAACCGTTTGGAGAATATTTTAGTCTCTAAATCTAAATTGTGGCTCTATTAATATTTTGTGGGCATTCAAGACACATGGGCGACGGTGGCAGGGGAGCTAAGTGCCTACCCTGCAAAAAGCGGGTTGCAGGATTGATTCCCGCTCAGTCTGTCACGGTCGTTGTGTCCTTGGGCAAGACTCTTCTGCCACCTTGCCTGCTGCTGGTCGGAGGGACCGGTGGTGCCTGGTCACCAGCCTCGCCTCGTCGGAGTGCCCCAGAACGCCTGTAGCTAGCGCATCATCACCGGTGTGTGAACGTGTGCGGGTATGGATGGGTGACTGGTGTTGTAAAGAGCCTTGGGGGGTCGGAGAACCCTAGAAGGTGCTACACAAATACAGGCCATTTAACATTTAAGTTGGATTGGTTTGGATCCTACCTGAATGAACTTTTTGTGCCAGTCTAGTTTTAAACCTTTTTCTGCTCTTCTTCCACGTGGAGTTCCACAAGGCTCCGTCTTTGAAGCTTTGAATGTCTCTTTTATAATTTGAACAGTTTAAACATTTGACCAACTGCTTGCTCTTTGCGTTCTCTGTGGCGGGTCCAACTCATAGACTTCTTTAAGGACTTTGATATTTTAGAGACCCTCCAATCAGGTTTTAAAATGTTGCATAGTACCGAGACTGCCCTTATCAAGGTCTTTAATGACATTCTTTTACCAACAGACGGTGGCAGTCCAGTGCTGCTGGTCCTATTGGATCTTACAGCAGCTTTCGATACCGTAGACCACGAAGTGTTGCTCCATCGCCTTGAACATTATGTGGGAATTTCTGGGCAAGCCCTAAACTGGTTTAGATCATATTTACGTGACAGGATGGTTTGTGTGAGGATGGGTGGCTTCTCACATCTGCCATGGGGGATACCGCAGGGTTCAATACTGGGACCCTTGCTGTTTTCAATTTATATTCTCCCATTGGGTGACATTTTACGAAAGTTTGGAATTGGATTCCATCTCTATGCCGACGACTGCTAATTGTACTTGCCTCTAGATGGCGCCGGTGATCACACGATAATTGGGTTAGCAATTGTTAGTGTTTTATATTTTGTAATTCTTATTTGTGGTTTTAATTATGTCTGTAGCGCTATATGTTTTATTCTTTTGTTGTACAGCACCTTGGTGGCATGCTCATGCCTGTAAGGTGCTTTATAAATAAAGACTGAGTGAGTGAGTGAGTGAGTGAGTGAGTGAGTGAGTGGTCAGTTCTGGCTGTTTTAAAGCACTTTATAAATAAAGTTGGCTTAATCAAATGATCTCTATAGGAAACAAACAAAAAACTACTAAACTAAAATATTTCTAAAAGATGTCTGAAGATACACTTCATGGTTATTTCGTGCCACTATTGTTTTTTATACTATTATTTAAATATTTTATTGTTCCAAATTTTTTTGAAAGCTGCAAAAACCTTTTCACGGCCATTTTCTTGCGGTGGACATTAGAGGGTTAAAGTACATACACGTGTAACTGAATAAACAAACAAACAAGCAAACAGCACTAATTACCGGAGAACATAAAGCAGAAAAAATCATTTAGCATTTTTTTTTTGCTCTCATAAGCAGTTTATTTATCCTCAAAGCAACATGGCGTCAATCCTTAAAAGGCAAAAAGGGATTCAAGTAAACATTAAAACACAAGTCAGCACTAACAGCACAACGGTTTCTGTAAACACGGGTTAATCTAACAGATCTGGTGCTTGAAGTAACATTAATATAATGCTCATTCCAAAATATCACCTTGAAAGCACAACCACCCATCAGACGGACTCTACTTAGCTTCTCTAGTTCACACTGAGCTACGACACCATAGATAAAGCAGCTTGAAACCCTAAACCTGCAGCACTCTTTGCATGAGCTGGACTGGAGCCCTTCCACCTGATGACAATTACCACAGATCAACACTAAAGGTCCTTAAATTAAATAATTATGAAAAGCTGTCAAAAATATTTCTACGGCATGAAAAGAGATTTCAAGTTAAAGGCAGATTTGAGCTCCTGCAGTTAAAATACATTCAAGCCTCGATTAGATTAAAACATCCACAAACAAAGCAAGGCACCAACCCACCGAACGTATTAATATGTAGAATATTTCAGTTAAGGTCAGCGTTTACGTCTGCCCTGCACACTGTGCATCTTTACATGAATGGAGATTGCTCAGGTATTTCTGGCACAGCCGTACTTTTTATTGTATTTTGTCCTGGAACCACCCGGAGGTCACTTTGAGAGCTACAAGCAACAAAAAGACATTTATTTGGTTTAAATTTGGTTCTAAATTACCAAACTGCCACTTTTAAAAGAGGTAAAATCTCCACTAAGCAGGTAAGAAAGTTGCACGTTTTCGCTGTGATGTTTTCCAGGCCAGTCACTCGTGTTTATTTGTGGTAAAAAATAATGATATTTATTAAATTGACCTGAAAATATGTCAGAAATACATGTTTTATAGCCTTATAATTAGCTAAGACCCCAAAAAGGATTAAATGGAGCGAGGTGCCTCCATATGTAACTGTTGACTGAGTGAACATGGAGGATAAACCAGCAGCTCGGAGCGTGGTAATGATGACATGAACCGGTCCCTTTCATCTCCAACAACATTGTTGACTCGATTCTCCTCCCAAAATCCACTCAAACATCTAAAGACCAAAGCATGTGAGATGAAGTCCTTCACGGGACGGGTTAGGAAGCTGGACACGGACACAGCAGCTGACCAACCACACGGATGAAGGCGGAGATGATGATGATGGAGACACGTTAACAAGCAGATGTTCATTCTCCAAAGCAAGAGTCTGCATCGACCACCAAGTTCATAAAGTGGGTTCCAGGTTAAAGGTCAAAGTTCAGTCATGACCTTATCCCTGTGAACCAAGCCGATGGATCCTTTGAGGGTGCTGCCGGATGGCTCGGGGATGGAAGGATGACTGGACACGGGACTCGCAGCCTCAAGAGAAGGTCTGAGCAGCGGGAGGGTCATGGCGTCATGGAGGCAGACAAGACACAGGCGAGGCAGGTGAGTGACATGAAGTGCAATGGCACACAGATTAAACGGAGTGAGCTACGCGCCTTTCCACAAACCTGGTCAGTCTCACCTGTGTGGTGGCGTGTGACCGGTGGGCTGCAGGTAAAGCGGGGTGGTGAGGGCGGGGTGGGGTGGATGCCACGGCTCGTGGCCAATCGGAATGTTGTGTTGATACTGAAGAGAGAGAGAGAAATTAGATGTTGCCCCCAGCCCGAAGCGGCTGTCGGCGTGTACAGAAGGGGCCACTCACCCCATGCAGGGCGGCATCAGGGCTGGCACGAGTGCTGCAAAACAACGTCAACAACTATTTCACTTGAATTGTTTTTACAAGGGAAAATAAAGAGAAAAATGGGGGAAAGTTGTGTTAGAATGAAGGACTATCCATGATGTTTGGATTGAGGTCAAGACAATCAAATAAAGAAGTCCTCGTTAGGCTGTAATCATGTCCACTGCGTGTGTCTCTCTGAGTGTTTTACCTGATGTGAGGAGGTTTGGCTGGAGAAACGGCGGCTGATAGAGAAAAACAACAACAGTTAGAGGAGAAAAACTCCTTAAAGAGACAGCAGAGCCAAATGAAATCAAACATTTAGAATTTTTTCTGCTGTAACCAAAAAACAGAATTTCAGCTCAAGAGTTTGTAGTAAAACGAAAAAATATGATTTATTGGCTTATGCTTCCTGATTTGAGTCTTTTATCAATATTATTATTATTATTATTATTATACAACTATAGTTTTTTGCAGAATGATGTAAAAGTACAAACTGGCCTGAATATCAACGTAACCTTTAGGCGCCATAGTCTTTCCAGTAAAATATGAATTTTTTATATCACTATTTAAAGAGCT